GCAAAAGCGACTGCCTCCAGAGTTCACAAATGAATAAGGGTAAGTGGAACATGTCTATGGGTGCTTTTTAAAAATAGATTCTAATACTTTTTACGGAGGCTGCGCAATTTTACAACTGATGCACCAGAAACTGCCGTCAGAATGGAGGAATCGTTCATTTTAATGGCATTCGACTAATAGAAGGAAAACATATATGTACATACATGCGGAAAATTCACGCCAATACCACAAACATCGAACGATCATATGAGATTTTTAGATCTTACCACTGTACGCGCACTAACAAGGGAACTCACATTGGTTTTATTTGCTTCCACACAAATTTCATTTGAATTTGCTTTTCTGTTGTGCAATTATAGTCCATAAATCGACCTGTGTTCTTCTAAGATAATGGTAAATTTGTTCCATTTCCTGTTGGACTGCGCTCTTACTACTAACTACTTCGGGGCTTTGGGTTATGCTGAACACTAAGTTATAGAAATTTTAGGATCCGGATTGTTCAATGTTTAACTGAAAAGTGACAAGCGCTGTTTTCAGTCGTCCGCCGAAGGTGTTGGTCTCGGATTTGACAAAACAATTACTCAAACCGAACCATTGTAATTTTTCCCAGCGTAGAAGCTGTGACTACTACTCCACGTTGCAATATTCTAGGGGGAGGGGAGTTGTTTGTTAATCTGTCTCACACCAACGCAAGTCGGCGATAGTTGGATAGGCACAAATGATAAAGCGTCTGCATCAATTGGTCACATTGACCACGTATAGAAAGAGTGATAACTTAGAAAGCACAATGTTTATTCCACAAATTTGTAGTGTTAGAGTCATAGGAATTTTTGAAAGATTAAAAAACGCCATCTAGGAATTGTTCTTTCTTGTTTACACAAACTGGATTGTCATCAAATTAGAAGTTTACTTTTTCCTGTGAAATATTAATAATATAATATAATATAATAATAATATATGATATGTTCTCTCCTTCTAACTAGTTTCCTTGTTTCACAGCCCACTGAGTGGAAATTCGCCACTATTTTCCTTCATTAACGCGGTCTCCTCTTCCAATAAAACAAAGAAACCTACAAATATCTAAGGATTATTTCTATCAAAGTGTTCCATTTGTTTTTCGAGCACATGTTCAGTTCACTTCAAATTGCGGAAGACATGAGACGTGTGGAATAACAGAGCATGGTCGAAACTGTGAGTGTTGGTCATATAATTATAGTATCTAATAAAATACATCAGTCTTTTAGATTGTTTAAAAGCAAGAGTATCCACGCTCAATGGTCGTAGATACATGATTCAACCATATCTGTACTTCGCGTATACCACGTCGCTCGGCCTTTTAATCAAAATTGTTTAGACCATTCGCAATGGACACTGTAATCTATTGTGTGATTCATCTTTCCTTCCATATAGCCCAAAATAGTTCACCTATTGACAGAGTACTGTAACTCGGTTCTCGTGTCAAAAGCTGACTGAGTTCACGTTTGAATTAGAAATAATCATGAACCTCAGATGGGATTCGAACCCACGCATAGGTACTGCCTACGATCTCATAGAACCTAAGCTATACTCACGGATCTATGGGATCTTCCCCATTCGACCCGATTTACTCCGCCTGTTCGTTGAGAATGTCAATTTCTTTGGAAAAGTTTTACGACGAGCCACTACTTAATTGTTTAAGCAAACCATGATTGGTAATTTGCATGGAATAACGCCATCCGAAACATCATCATCATCATCATCATCATCATCATCATCATCATCATCATTTACTGTCAGTCCTAGCGGTTCGTAAATAGATCAACGCGATGGCCAACTGACGAATTTTCAATCTCACATTTTATCTCAGAAAGGCACGAGCAAAAAACATTGATTCCCAGTAATTTCTGACGCTCGTTTTGTCTTCTTTTTCTCAACACAAGCTTCATTGCAATCTGATACTATTCTGGACATTATAAAACTAATGTTTCGCATCTGCAGTTTTACCGAAACCGAAGATTATAAAACTAATTAAAAAGTCCCTTTTTTATCAATTTAGATAACATAGTGTCTTCATTGATATCAAGTTCGGTCAATTTAATCAGGTGATCTGTTTTCTCATCTGCTTGTACACGAAGAGGTCCGCAAGAAATAAGTTCTTGTTCGTACGATCTGGGTGAGCGTGGTGACACTCGTTGCAGCTGAAATCCTGTCGATCGATAGAAGAACCAGATCCACCCTAAGTGGTTGTCTTATCCTTATTGTAGAACAGAGAACGTTCCCTCTGGTGTCCAATTGTTATCATAGGATTTTCACAACGAATTATCGAACTTAAATCCGAACAGTTAAGTCAGAAGACAAACACTGCGAGAGGAATTCCTTTCGTATATTCTCATCGGTCGCGTACGTATAACATCGAACAAGATAGAAAAATGAGACGAATTAAGAAATCTAGTTAGTATTAACCATGTGTGTGTGATTGTGTACAGGGTGTGCGATGCACGTGATTGATTACAGTCAGGGAAGGCTAAGGGTAAAGGTCATACGTTTTTGGATGCAAAGTGTGGGTTTGTTGTCAGCGATCGATAATGACTCCTAGTTTTCGTCCTCAGCTGTAACACTATACTCCCTAAGGAATTATTTTCTGTTTATTTATTTGTTTAGAACAGAGCGAATTCAAACAATGCAAGATGTAAACATTTGTTTTAATCACCTTGTGCCTCGCCAAAGCTATCACCGAACCTGAACGCACGGTGCGTATCCCAAAGCATCCCGTTAAAATACAGTTGCAAACAATGCAAGCCTTTACTGGTAGTGCCAGCCAAACATGCGTTGAAACAAGGATAAGCGTGAGGTATACATGGAGTTGATCACAGTCTGTAGTCATTGGTCCGGAATGGGAATTACGAGAGCGCTGATGGAGAGAATGCACGATTATGCATCCGGGATCGTCGAGAAAACACCGACGTTCTCACGGTGACGACCGATCCCAATCCATTTCGAATGTGAACAGTAAGAATTCTCAAGCGGAGTTTAGGCTTCCCCTGAAACTCCTAAATAGTAACATTGTGAACCAATTTGATTTTTATACAGGAAGGCTACCGGTTGATGGAATCTGCAAAGTACCGAAGAGAAGCGTCTCCCTCAAATCGGCTTTTAAGAGTAGTCGTATAATGAACAATGTGTGTCAGAAGCTCAAGGTGGCTCTGCGTCAAACATTTCCCCTCTCGCATAGCTTCGACAGATACCGTATGCCCAGAGTCTCCATCTGGACAACCAGAACCAGAGAAAGCCCCGATTAGGCTTCACACATCTATAATTTCATATGCAGTTGCGGTGAAACCAACATCGGCAGAACAAATCGGCCCCTGTCACAACGGATGGCAGAACATATTCCTACCCTACATCGTTCTAGCCAGTGCTATGTAACACGAATTCCAGGCTACTGACTTTCAGCCAAACGGTACCAATTACATAACGTAATCCAATTTTGTGTTTACAAAAGCTTCGGACGCAATCAATCATATTGCGGTGAGACTAACTCTGGAGCTGATTTCCCCTAGCCGGTGACTGTTTTTCGCTGAAACCACTGTACGTACCAGAACCTTTTTACGTTGTAGCGGTGTAGGAGATTAAAAAAAATGGTAGCATCTTCTGGTCTTTGTCTTCATTCTGTTCTAGCGAACTGGATAAAGGGAACTTGGTGATTAGTGCTTATTTAGCACCAGTTTGCGAGAAAGCTTATACTTGTACCACGTGGTGTCTGTGGATCTCCGATGGAAATAGAACAAGAGGAATCGAGTTTAATAAGTCCGTCTTTCGGTATGATACCTTTTGTAATTTGATTTGTAATTTTCCTCTTCACTCCTAAGCAAGCCTCGCTTCC